GTAAATATTTTGGAGAACAAGATCGCATTTTTATTTATGTTTCAAAAATACTTTTATTTTCTTATTTGTAATGTGTACAGATTTTCTTGAGTACTTTTCTCCACGGCACGTGGTCAATTTATCGACCGCTTTTCTCTTTGTACCTTTAAACTTTGTAGTAATTTGTAAACAAGGCATATCTAGGTTAAATTTTATGCACTTGCGATTTTTAAATGGCCGGCTCACCGGGCGACTCTTGGTCTTTTTGTTTACAGTTAGATCTATACTGTTTATGTTTGGTTAAAATATATCTACATGTCAGTATGAACATTTTATTTGAAATTTGTAAGATCTATGTTTCTCCTTTTACACCAGTAATAGTCTTTCCGATGTGTCTGAGATTTTTTACGGTAACTGAAAAGTTGATAGTATAAATATTTTGTTTATTTCAGGAGGATGGACCAGGCACAGGTCTTGAAATCCAGGTATTCCCTGGTAGGGAAATCTTTAACTGTTTAATAGCTATTATTCTAAAGGTCAAGGCGCACCAGACCCAGATACCAAATGAGAGTTTTAACAAATTAAAGAAGGACCACTCTCTCCTTGACTATTCGTTTGAGGAATTTGAGACTGAATTTAACGGACTTACGGGAGAGGTCATGAGCGATGTTTTGGCGGTAAGAATATTTAATTTGAAATTTGCTGTAAACTCCCCTTTTTACTTTAAATTTGTATTAATGTCACATATGTGAATTTTGAATAACTGTGCATATGACGTGAGCTATCTGATATTTATTTTACAGGAATTATCATTTTTTAAATATCGCCTTTCTTTTCACCTGTTGGTCTGTAGTCAAGGCTAGGTCTTCGGTTGGTACCCTAGTCCATCTGACCGTCACCTTTTGGTTAAGGTCCTTATTTTAGGTGCTACTTGTAGTAGAGTAATGATTTTGAGCAGTAGATATGTCTTGGTCTGGTTTAAGGTGATCAACCTATTTTAGGTTATTTTGACCTATATTTTACACCTGAATGACTTTGGTCACAGGAATTTCTAGTTTTGGTTTATATAGAAATAAGAAGGGATATGGTGAAGTGCAACAAATACATCAAATTACATCAACAAATAAATATGTTTTCCTCATATCCAGAGGGCGAGTACTGAACGCTGGGAAAAAAAAAAAAAAAAAAAAAAAAAGTATAGTCCATGATAGAGAGCAGTTTTAATAAGTCTTGTTAGTACATGTATTTAATTTGTATGCTAATTTATGACGAATTTTAACGGGAAAACACAATTTTCAACCTTTATTTTACTGTATTTTGTAGTTTTGTGGCAAGGAACCTTTGATAGAGAATGCTCGCTGCCTTGTGCATTTTACAATTACGCAGGCTAATCTTGTCGGGGCCCCAAGGGGCAAGACTCTGGCACCCAAGGCTGTGCCCGAGCCTAGCGCTAGTACCAGTAGTGGAGCTGTTGGTGGGAATATACCAGTTCCAGATCCCAGCACGACTCCAGATATCGTGCCTTTAGGTGAGAGATTGAGTTGTTTCAGTAAAATAATAAAAATATATAAGGTTATGGGGAATGTGTCAAAGAGACAAAGTTTTCTATTTTGAGAAAAAAAAAATAGCTCCCCTAAGAGTCCTGTAAAATCTTCACACTCGGGGTTGATTGTGCCCAGAAAAGTTATGTATTTTTTGCTCCAGTGATTTAGATGTCTTTCTGGTACATAGTATTATATATCCGTCCGTCTGTTACTAGGAATCTGTTCCTTCTTTTGCTTGGTTACTCCTTAGCTATAGATAGTGTATTCTGTATGTATTTAGTCTGTAGTGGGATACTCTGATATGATTGTAAATTTTTAGGGCCCCGAATTGAGGAAACGGGAGCCCTATAGTTCTCACTTTTCCGTCCGTCCCTCTACAATGTAAAACTTAAACTATTAAGATACAGAACTGAAATTTTACACACTTGTTTAGCAACATATGTAAATGTGAATACTAAAATTTGTTTTGATCAGTTGTATATTTTGGGTAAATTTAGGTTATCGACACAAAAACGTCACAACTATACAAGATAGAAACCTAAAATTTTACACGGTTGTTAACCTACATATGTAGATGTGCATATTCAAACTTGGTTTAGATTTGGATGAAAGTTTTCGGAGAAAAACACAAAAAAAAAAAAAAAAAAAACTTTTGATGTAATATTACAAATTTTTGAGAATCAAAGATCAAAAGTGCCGAAGGGGCCCTTCCTGACTCTGTTGTTATTCTATTTTTGTTGAAACCTCAATTCCGAAAACATTTACTGAGTTATTTACAGGATACTTGTTAAAAGTTTTGAATTTTATTTTTATTTTTTATTTTCTCTCAGGAAATAAGTCCAATGACATAGAGAGCCGACTGAAAGATATGGAGAATAAGATGACCTCTTTTTCTAATAAATCCGCCGAAAGCCAGGTAGGAGAGAGTTTAGCACATGTAAGGATACTGGCGTCTAGGCCCAACTTAACACCGTCACATGTTCTATTGGCTGCCATAGAATCTCTTGTTACTGTTGCTACAAAATATGGACATAAGGAAGCAGAATTTTTCTCTAAGGCTTATACTTACTGCAAAAAGTTCGAGGATTCTAAGGATATCTGTAATTTAGCAATGAAATTATTTGGATCGGCAGAGGACAAAAAATTAGCTAATATGGTAGCCGAGTGGATGAAGGGTAAAAAGTACGAGGCTTCTCCGAAGAAGTCTGTAAGAATTGAACAACCTGATAAAGAAAATGATATTAAAATGCCACATAATTTTGGTGCAATTAATAATCCTGCCTCCTTTTGTTACCCCTTTGTTCAAGGTCCAATGCCTATGCCACCTTTTTATGGCTCTCAGGGTTATTCTAATTTTCAGGGGAATTTTAGGAACGGAAGATTTAATAGAAGGGGAAGGGGAGGGTACTCCAGAAGAGGCAACTGTCTTTTTTGTAAAGAAAGTGGGCATTATGTTGCGGAATGCCCGAAGATTAAGAAGGACTCTTAAAATAGTATTGATTTGTTTAAAAGTGTGAATTTCTTATTTTGGGATATTTATTCAGGTATTTGTGTTTTGTGATTTTGTACATTTTGCTTACATTTTCATATTGTTTAAATATGATTTTATGGATACTAGCCTTTAACCCAAGGGACACTGAAGCCCTAGTGAATTTTATATTCACGTGGGTTGGGGCTGAGTATCCACCTCTGTAATCTCTTGGTCTAAGAATGGTTTTATAATTATTTCAGGGAGAAGTTTTAAGCCATAGTAGTGATAAAAAGAGGCAAAAAATTATACCAGATATTCCTATTTGGGAGTTGAAATCTAGTTTTAATCCTTCAGGAATACAGAGAAGGATAAGGGAAGACTACATTGATTACAGAGGTGCGATATTTCAGCCCCTAACCCATATTTCTGCAGAGGGTGTAATTAACAATAATGAAGAGTTTGATTTGTGTAATTTGAAGCTTAGAAACCCTACAAATTTTATAGCAGGCAGTTTGCATGATCATTTTGATGAATGGGAAAAAATTTGTACGGATAAAAAAGTCCTAGATTGGGTCAAAAATGGTGTAAATGTTAATCAATTTTTTAAGCATTTCAAGGGAAATTTTAAAGGGAGGCATTATGACCATAATATTCCTCCGGGTATTTTACTACCTAACGCTAAGATTTGTGAAGACTATACCCAGTTTATTGCTGAAACTTTGGAGGAAAGGTTAAGGAATGGTTCTTTGACATTACTAGGGAAAGTGGGTGAATGCGACCCTCCTTATTTAGTGCTTCCTCTGACTATAGAACCTAGTAAACCGAGACTTTGTCATGACGAAAGATATCTCAATTTATGGATTATTGATAGTCCTTTTTCTCTGGAAACCTTAAGAGACCTTAAATCAGTTTCGGTTTCCATCCAGGATCATAGGGTGGACGCTTTTGTTGATAATATGGCATGTGGGCAGGCATGGGAGAAGCAGACATTTAAGGATTTGGCTTTAAATGAATTGATGAAGGATCTTTTCAATTTCACAGTTGATTTTAATGTTGATTTGAGGTTATCTTACATTCCTTCTAAAGAGAATCCTGCAGATTTGCTTTCTAGAAGTCTGTCTGCCCAGGATTGTATGTTGAATAGAGATAAGTTTCTTTTAATAGAGCAAACTTTTGGCCCGCACCATATATATCTTATGTCTTTAGACTCTAATGTGATGAGGGATACTGTAGATGTGCCTTTGCGCCATTTCACCCCGTATCCAACTCCAGGTTCTGCGGGTGTCAATGTGTTTTCTCAGACTTTGTGTCTATCTGATAATTTGTACGTTTTCCCTCCTTTTGCTTTGATCCTTCCGGTTTTGAGTTTTCTGAGAGATCAAAAGGTGAGATTTTGCACTATGGTTATTCCTGATGAGGATGTTAGACCCATTTGGTGGCCATTGTTGTCTAATTCGTTGGTAGACCATATTGTTCTTGGTAAAAGAGGAGAGTTGGGTGTCCTTCTTGTACCGTCTAAGAAAGGTTTTGTTCCTGATAAGAGGGGACTTAAGTGTGATCTTTGGGCAGCTAGGTTGAAGTTTCATTAAGTTATGCTTAAATACAGTATGAGTTTGAAGTTGAAAGTTTTTCATTTTTTGTAGGCATTCGTTTACAGAAATATTAGACAGATAGATTATGAAAGTTGCAAGATATGTGGCTGTCTTAATCATAAGGATTTTCGATTTTGCCAGTTTTGTGGGGATAGAAGAGAGGATACTGGAGAAGTCTCTATTGATGATCAGGATTTAAAATCTTATAATGCTAAGAAACGTATACAATACATAGAAAACATGCTAAACAAGAAAACATATGATAAGAAAAAGGTTTCTTTGAAGAAAGATTTAGAATCTTTCTTAATAGGTCGTGCTAAAAATCTGACTTCTGCCACTCCAGAAGACATAAGATTGTTTTTGATTGTTTTTGATTGACCGTGATATGAAAGGGAAAACGAAAATACATGATTTATGGTGTCCATTTTTAGAATAGCTTCTGGCACTGTATCCTCTTTAGCGAGTCAGTTGAAGGTTATTTTTGATTCTTTCGGTAGAAAGGGTGAATGGACCGAGTCTGGTGTTATCAAATTCGGAAACCCTGTGTCAAGTACTATAGTTAAGCACTATTTAGAAGCAGTAAAACTAGAACAAGCAGTAGCCCATGTACCTATAGTGCAGGCAAAACCTATATTTTTAGACAAGCTGAAAAAAATCAGTGTTTACATAACAGAACAGTTGAATGATCATACGTTAAAACCTGGTAAACGTTTTGTATATTTAAGAGATAGAGCATTTTTTACTTTGCAGTTTTTTGCGGGAGATAGGGCCAGTGATTTAGGCAAGTGGTGAAAAAGTTGACAGATTCTGAGGCTCTTTTATTTCGTCATACAGTAGGCAAAACTTTAGGGAATGGCAAAATCAATGAGTTTGTGATTTCACCAGTCTCCGATAAGTTGATTTGTCCTGTTGAAAATTTAAATCAGTATGTTTCTGGAGCAGAAGAAATGGATATCGATTTATCAGTAGGTTATCTTTTTAGGACTTTAGACCCTTCTCACTCTCGTGTTATAGAATCTCCAGTTTCTTCTTCGGGAATGGGCATCCGTTTGCAATTGTACCTTAAAGATTTGAATATTTTTGAGGGTGAAACTATACATGGCATTAGAGGAGGTTGTGCTATAACTATGATGTCTTCGGGTATAGCTTCTTTTAAGGAGATTATGGAACATGTTGGTTGGTTAAGCAAACGTTCCTTAGATAGATATTCAAGAATGAATAGATTAGTTGATGCAGGGTCAGTGAGTTCTTTATTTTCGAAAGTTGCAGACTCTAATCTTTCTGATGCTGGAAACATTTTCACAAGTTAGGGGACTCCTCTGATTTACCACAAGCTTTTAAAAAGTAGGCTAGTATGACAGTATTGTAATACAATGTGTAAAAGTTAACTATGAATGTAAATTGTTTGCCTTCATTTATATATGTATTTCTTTTATTAATTTGTAGAATGGGAAACTTAAATGTGAGGTATTTACGGATAGCCTACACCATTTGTTTAAATCACTTTTGATACTATATATTTAAACACACACTCATGTAGAGACTGTTTTACATAATCAAACTTTCAGGTTCATACTTAACTTTTACACATGGTAATATTAGCTTTGTAATTTTGTGTACTGGTAGTTATGTTTATATAATATAATGAAAGGAAAATTGTATTTTGCTAATAAATGTGTTATTTTGAAAGTTTTATTTTATTTATTTGATAATATCATATAATAAAACTAAGAATATGGGGATATGTCATGGATGTTAAGGGTTATTTTGGAAAAGTTTTGAGGGTTGGGAATATTTTCTGTAGTTTTGGGTAAGTAATGGGAGGTTTCGTTGGTTAAAGGGTTCAATTTTAGGAATTGGTGTTTAGGTTGAAGAATTTTAGATTAATTGGGGTTACTCTTTCATCCCAATACTTAATAAATCCCGAGTGTATTTGAGTGAGTCTGACTTTGGATATGGTAGTATCCTAAGTGAGATCTCGCGAGAATCACGAGGTGATTCAATCAGTCTTAGCTGAACAGCCGTGGAGGCCTTTTCCTGCTTGTGACTGGTGGCGTTATTCTAGGCTTGCTTTCTTTTAGCTCATATTAGAAGATGTGGAAGCTCAAGTTATTTTGGAGAAAATTGTGTAAACACAAGAGGGAATGGTTTTTGGAAAAAAAAAAAAAAAAAACAACGAGTAACAACAAAACAACATATTAAAAATAAAACAAACAAAAAAAAAAACCAAAAAACCCCAAAAAATTACAATGAACAAACAACCCTCCGGGAATGGAAGGAAAACCAAGCTAAACGAACAATAACAAAATAAGAAAACTTCACAAGAAAATGATTAATAGCTAACTCAACTAGAAAACCAAGATATGTATATTTAAAAAAAGAACAAGGGTAAATTAAAACCCTGAGGAGACTTTGGCAGTTGCTCGTTAGTCGAAACATATATCAAATGTAGAATATATAAAGGTCCTGTTGATCAGACGATATCAGAATGCATCAAATTAGTTTATTTTATCACAACGTCAAATATTTTAAAGGATGAAACCAGGCAAACTGATGATACTTACCAGGTTTGTTTGATGCTGTTGACTAATGTTAGTGACACTCGAGCATAAAAAAGGGATTGCAAATATGCTGTTGTACTGTTATGTGGCCTGACCACATATGTGAGCGGGACATATAGTGTTATCCTTGTCCATAAGTATTTGGTTAAGGACCATATCTTGGTAACTACATGTAGTACAGCACTGATACAGTAGATATCTTTTGGGTAGAAGGTTACTACAAATTAGGTCACCATGACCTATGTTTTACGATTTAAGGATTTTGGTTATGGTAGGACTATCTTGTCTAATAGACAGTTTCTAGTACCTACATGTATAAATGGTATTTGATATTGAGACTTGTTAGTTCCAGAAATAGACAAATATTTATATGATGGGATGGCGTTGTACAACAGATGACAAGATTTGTGACCGAAATCAGGTCCTAGTGTAAGGCCTAAAATAAAATAAATAATGCAGTATGTAGTCACAACTATTGATTAAGCGGCACTCGCTCTTTTAGACTCTGGGGTTACTCTTTCATCCCAATACTTAATAAATCCCGAGTGTATTTGAGTGAGTCTGACTTTGGATATGGTAGCATCAAAATAGGATGAACGGATTATATAAACCCGAAGGCAAATATAATACAAGCCCAAACGAAAAAAATATAAACAAGTCTAAATTGAAAACAACGTTCAAACCCATAATTCCTTTGGATAAAAACCACAATTTTTATACGTATGCATGCAAAACAAATTTCTTGGTAGAGGGGTCTAAATTACAGCACAAACAACATTTTCCAAAAGACCAAATGAGTAAAAAAAGTCTATTTTAACAAAACGCATTTGACTAGCATATATATAGCTATAGTGAAAGACGTGTATAATGACAAATGATAAAAACACAAATTGTTTAGTGTCGAAGAAAAAAAACCTAAGATTTTCTTTAATTTATTTTGCAAAATGGTGCAATTTGGGTATTGTGATGTTAGATAAATAAGAACAAATTGGTGGCCTTGGGCTGTTTTCTCCTCTTTGGTTGAGTTGTTGTCTCTTTGACACATATCCCGGTTTCCATTCTCAATTTTATAATAATCGCACTCGGTAAGGATTCGCATAACATATAAATACATGTTTAACGTAAATTATCTTTCCGCATTAATACCAAGCGAAGTCAGTGTTTTAATATATAAGAAGATCTGGTATGAGTGCCAATGAGACAACTCTCCATCCAAGTCAAAATTTATAAAAGTAAACCATTATAGGTCACAGTACGGTCTTCAACACGGAGCCTTGGCTCACACCGAACAGTAAGCTATAAAGGGCCCCAAAAAATTACTAGTGTAAAACCATTCAAACGGGAAAACCAACGGTCTAATCTATATAAAAAACGAGAAACGAGAAACACTTATGAATTGTCTGTTTAAATGCAATAGGCTTTAAAACATGTAATCTTACAAAAAGCTTCTTATCCGGAAAAGCGTACTTTAAGACTCAAGTAATGCGTTGATTATTGATTGTTTTGTTTAATTTCTCTTTGTAACAGGATATTACATTCATCTAAGTTTAAAACGGTTTGTTTTAATTCGTGTTAGGATCAGAAAATATTACAAAACAACAGTCTTACATAAATCGAAACATACATACTATCAAATGAAATCACTTAAACTGTGTAAATGTTTAGTCCGTACTACATCGGTCACAGCCACTTATCGTCAAAAGCACGACAATGTGTTGTAGTAATGTCCTTTTGTTGTTTGTGGTATAACTTGCTAACACTTTAGAATATATAATAAAATTGTCCAAGGACTATTAATTACTTTCCATTGATTGTTAAATATAGTGCTATAATCTAGAAACTATTATCCTTTATTTACTTTCAACGTGAAAGTCTTTCCAATACATGTTTCTCTATTGAGTTCATCAAAACGACCAGTTACTCCGGCTGTAGTTGAATTGATAAACAAGTATTTAGTTCAAGAAAAGCTCTCAGGATTTTCTTTTATCCTCATATGGTTAGCATTGTATCGGGGACGATTATCAAATACTTTTAGTTTCTTAGACTTCCTGGTGAACGTATTACATGATCCTGTTTTGTTATATACATCTGCATTAAAATACAGCACATCCTTATGATCATATGAAAATTTGAGGTACGGCCAAAGTCCTCTTAATTTACTAGTAATGAACACTCAGGGTTTTTTGAAAGTCTTTCTTTGTTGTCCTGAACATGCATGAAATATTTGCCATTGGAGGTAAGTAACCATGCAAGAATCAATCAATCTAAATGTCTTTCAATGACAAATAAAATTCACAGTTTCATAGCTTCATTCGTTTACAACAAGATGACATATTAATGAACTTGAACGTGTTATTTCTGTCATTCCAAAAATTGTGTGCATGAAAAGGAAAAAATAGTGTGTTTTGATTGCCAAACGAGACAACTATATTACCAATTTCTGAAGGACGAGGATGTGGACAACTTCAGGTCATCGTATGACCTTCGGTGGGTCTACGATATAGGTAGTGAAAGTCATTTTTTGATCAGGTCTTACCTCTTATAAAGGTAATGTACATTTGTACATTCAAAGTATAATTCGGTTTCCACTAATTATTATTTCAAAAATTGTTCCAGGTTTTATTTAAACGTAAAAGAAATACATGTATATCTCAAACATGTAAACAGAGGTTGTGGAAAATAAAAATTTGCATATAACACACACACACACACACACACACACACACACACACACACACACACACACACACACACACACACACACACACACACACACACACACACACACACACACACTTAATCACGTGAGCTTGCATTAATCGTATTATATCTAGTAAGCCAGGTTGTCAAAAAGTCGAACGATATAATTTTCGCAAAGATCAAGTATAAAGGATGAACATTTATTATTTATTTTTATAAAACAACATGTTATATTCTTGATTTGGTATGATAAATCCTTAACAAAATGTGAACCTTACAGAACGGGATACAACAGTTTCTATCCAAACAATCAAGGATACTCATAACGAAATTTAGTGTGAGAATCTTGCCTGAAGAATGTATTTTAAAAATTCGAATAAAAGTAATAAAATTCCATAGTAAGTTCTTCTTTTGTGGTCAGATTTTGTATACCAATTATAAATTTTTTTTTCATTTAACGCCAAATAAATGCAAAACAAGAGAGGCGAAGGATACAAAAGTGACATTCAAACTCATAAGTCGAAAATAAACTGACAACGCATTGGCTAAAAAAGAAAAAGACGACAGTATACAAAACGCAACATAGAAAACCAAAGACTGAGAAACACGAACACAACCAAAAACTGGGGGTGATCTCAGGTGCTCCGGTAGGGTAAGCAGATCCTGATCCACATGTGGCACCCGCCGTGTTGCTCATATAAGTACAAACCCGGTGGTATGTCTAATTCGGTAGGTCACATTCTGGGGGGAAGGGGACGGGATTGTAGTTACGACAATTGGAACATATCCGTCGTCATCTGTGAAACAGATATTCCATAACGATCAACCAACTCGTGATGGCGTCCGTAAAATTTACGAAGGGAACCACTTGGAACTCTTGAATGTGTCAATTATTTGAGCTTTTTTAAGATGTTGGTCAAAATGAAACATCAGTTCTCTAAATGATAAAATGATTTTTGGTTCTTGTCTATTGAGTAACAAACTTATAAAACGCAATGTACTTGTCATAAACCTATACAATTGACTAAAGGTATAGGGGGAGGGTTCAGATCTCACAAACCATGTTTAACCCCGCCGCATTTTTGCGCCTGTCCCAAGTCAGGAGCCTCTGGCCTTTGTTAGTCTTGTATGTTTTTTTTTTATTTTAGTTCATTTATATGTTTCGGAGTTTAGTGTGACGTCCATTTTTACTGAACTAG